ATGAGGTATTTATAGAAAAAATTTTAGAATTTAGTCGTTATGTGTCCGTTAATTTTTGTTGAATATAGCCGTTATATATGTACATATACTCTACGTATATAACCGTTGTGAAAAACTACTTTTGAAAAATAAATTAATTAAGCAGTTTGAAAATATAGAAAAACAAATAAAATCATTTCGTGAGTTAAACTATAGAATATAAATATGCAAGTAGTCTAATTTTTCATATTATATGATAAATTTATGACTAAAATAAACTTCCTTGCAAGAATAACAATGAATACTTACGTGGGATAAAATTCCAACCACAGTAGCAATAAATAATTTCGTGGGGTGAAAACCTTTCCACGTTAGCAATAAAAATAAATAACTGTGTGGGGTGAAAACCAATCCACAGTAAGAATAACTATGCAGGGTGAAAACCCATCCACAGTAAAATTAATAACTATGTAGACGGATAATCCATCCCACAATTGTAATAGACATAAACGATTATATGGGGAAAAGTCCATCCACAACAAAATTAAATAAGAATTAAATAGTTATGTAGGCGGAAAATCCATCCCACAATAACAATAAACATAAATGATTATATGGGAAAAAATCCATCCGCGACAAAATTAAATAAGAATTAAATAGTTATGTAGGTGGAAAATCCATCCCACAATAACAATAAACATAAATGATTATATGGGAAAAAAATCCATCCATAATAAAATTAAGATTAAGTAGAGAAATTTTACCTTCTCTGACAGTTGAACGTTTGTGCTGATAACGTGTTCGAAAACTAATGTCCAGTACAATGTTCCAAGCAAAGGTTCTAGTAAATTATTTATTTAGGAGATAATATATTTAATTTATATAACTTCTCTACTAGAGACTTTAATATAATAACTTTATAATAATCGAAATGTTATGAAATAATTATAATGCTTAAAGGGAGAGAGAGAAGGTGATTAATAACTTTAAAAGAAAAAAATAGGGTAAGAAGCAAAGTAGGAAGAAATTTACTCATGTATATTTATTTTTGGTTTAATTTTACCACTACATAAGCCTCTTATTTATAGTCATCACCTAATGATAATTTTGTAAATATATAATAAGTAGTTCTACATCAAAATCAAAGTATTATACTTAATAGTATTCCTTACTTAATGCATGCTCATATTTAATATATATTTTGCTTCCAATCAAACAAAAAGAGTGGGGACAAAACCATTCCTTGCTTAAAATATAGGTTTGGTATACAGTTAGTTCAGAATTCGGGTATCAGCTTCGAATTGAGCAAGGGATAATTTGACATCACACAATCCATTCTATATGCCGACACAATCCATTCTTTCCTTCCAAATATGTCATATCTTAGTTCTCACTTATCTTCCAACAAAAACCATTCCCAAACGCACAAAATTATAAAAAAAAAAAAAAAAACCCACATTTGGCAACCCCAACTTCTCTTTCAATTCAATCATCATCCCCACCATCACCATTTCTTCAAACTTCTTCTCAATCTTTGAATCCAATCAAGCAAAGCGACGGCAAAATCCATAGCCCAATATATCTTATCTCAATTCCATTTTTCTTTCATCTTTTTGGGACAATTAATTAAAGTTATCGAGTAAAATCGTTAAATCTCATATGAAATTAATGTTCAACCAACAAATCTTATTGGTAATTTAGTTTGACCAAGTTGCCAGCAACGCAGCAAACGTGGCATCACACGGTTAAGCTAACGGGGGAAAATGGTGTTGAAGAAAGTCAGACGAAAAGTCGTCAAAATCGTGACGAAGCCTTTCAAGAAGAAATGTACAAAAACCCATGACCTTCTTCCCCCAACTGAACCACCATCGCCACCGCCTCCTCCTCTTCCGCCTCCAGTTCCAATGTCGCCGCCGCAGATAATGGATCATCAACAGCCTTTCATTTTCCCCACAACCCAGTCCGCCGTTCTCCCTGATCCCTCCAAATACTTCGCCCAAAACCTCCTCTCTGCCCCACTTCCGACCAATTCTTTTTTCCAGAATTTTGTTCTGAAGAATGGCGATCAACCGGAATACATTCATCCTTATCTCATTAAATCAGCGGTTTCCACGGTTTCTATCTGTTACCCAACTATAACCGAAAACTCTGCTTTTCTTTACCAGGTATTCAATCCTGATCTCTCTATATCTGTGTTGAATAATCCCAACCCGAATGCAACCCATGTCATTTCTGCTTTCAGTGATTTAAGTGTTACCCTCGATCATCCCTCCATCAATTTGCGTTATTATCTTGTGAGGGGAAGTCCGTTTTTGACCTTCGAGGTGACGGGTAATGTTGCAATTTCAATTTCAACTATTCATGCGATTCTGCAAATTTCGTTTAATCCTACTCTCACTAAGTATGCGATTAAGCTCAATAACAATCAGACTTGGGTGTTGTATTCTTCGTCGCCAATCAATTTGAATCAGAATGGTGTTTCTTCCATTACTACGGGTGCGTTTTCTGGGATAATTAGGATTGCTGCTTTGCCGGATTCTGACCCAATTACAGAGGCGACTCTTGATCGTTTCAGTTCTTGTTATCCTTTAAGTGGTTATGCTTTTTTTAGTAGGCCCTTCTCTGTGGAATACAGATGGGAGAAAAAGGGGTGGGGGGATTTGTTAATGCTTGCTCATCCCCTGCATCTTAAGCTTCTTTCTGATTTTGGTTGTTCTTTCACCGTATTGGAGAATTTTAAGTATAAAAGTATTGATGGAGACCTTGTTGGAGTTGTGGGAGATTCTTGGGTTTTAAAGAGTGATCCAGTTTCTGTAACTTGGCATTCGATCAGAGGTGTTAAGGAGGAATCACATGAAGAGATCATTTCTGCCCTTATAAAGGATGTTGAGGCACTAAGCACCACTCCTATAACAACTACTTCATCTTACTTTTATGGGAAGTTGATTGCAAGAGCTGCAAGATTGGCTTTGATTGCTGAAGAGGTGTCTTACCTTGATGTTATTCCAGCAATCCGGAAGTTCTTGAAAGATGCGATTGAACCGTGGTTGGATGGGACGTTTGGTGGTAATGGTTTTCTGTATGATCCAAAATGGGGTGGAATTGTGACTAAACAAGGATCATTGGATTCTGGGGCTGATTTTGGCTTCGGAATATACAATGACCATCATTATCATCTTGGTTATTTCGTTTATGCAATTTCTGTTCTCTCCAAGATTGATCATTATTGGGGAAGGAAGTACAGGCCACAAGCTTACTCATTGATGGCAGATTTTATGAATTTAAGTAGAAGAGCAGATTCCAGTTATGCTCGCGTGAGGTGTTTTGATTTTTGGTTGTTGCATTCTTGGGCTGGAGGATTGACAGAATTTGCAGATGGCAGGAATCAAGAAAGCACGAGCGAAGCAATAAACGCCTATTATTCAGCAGCTTTAATGGGGCTGGCCTATGGAGACACTCACCTTGTTGCTATCGGGTCGACTCTTACTGCCTTTGAAATTCAGGCTGCACAAACCTGGTGGCATGTGAAGGAGGATGATACCCTATATGGGGATGCATTCACGAGAGAGAACAGAGTTGTAGGTGTATTATGGGCAAACAAAAGGGACAGTGGACTGTGGTTTGCACCGCCTGAATGGCGGGAATGTAGGGTAGGAATCCAGGAGCTGCCTCTGTTGCCCATAACTGAGGTGGTTTTCTCTGATGTTCAGTTTGCAAAACAGCTTGTCACATGGACTTTGCCAGCTTTGGAAAGGGAAGGAGTTGGAGAAGGGTGGAAAGGATTTGTCTTCGCGTTGGAAGGTATCTACGACAGAGAAAGTGCCCTGGAAAAGATCAGGAATTTGAATGGATATGATGATGGAAATTCACTTACAAACCTTTTGTGGTGGATTCACAGCAGAGATGATGGAGAACATGGACATGGAAGAGGAGGGAGATTCTGTTGGTATAAACATGATGAGATTTGAATTCATATTACCTGATTTCACCATGGAAAAGAGGATTCAAGTACTGCTGTGTAGTGTTATTCATCTTTTGATCATAAACATCATCATTTAACTTAATCTCAAAATGATGCACCACCATACCATTTGTTCATTTATAATATTAAACTCTTCATTCTTAATTCAGCTAATAAACTTGAAAAAGTTTTCAGTCTTAGATTAGATTTGTTCTCTGAGTCAGATAGAAGCGTTTCATTTAATCGCTGATGTTGCAATATCATCGATTTAGCTACAATATTCATGAAAACCAATTCAAATCATCAACCATCAGGCATTCAGACCTACTGAGCCTCATTATTCAGTGACTTCTAGCACCTTCAACTTGAATCCCCTGAGTTTCCATTCTTCTGTTTCTGCAGCTTGTCTCTCAGCTACAGTCGAATGTACTTCCATGATGTAATCACTCAATTTCATCTCAATCTTTGCCACTGGCCTAGTCTAAAGGGATCACATAACCAATTAGTACATAGAAATTAGAAATGTAAAGCCAACCAATTGTCAAATGATTTTCACATGTCCGGATAGTGATTCAGTATCAATCAAGACCACCGCGTGAATCAATGGCAGCCTGATCCAGAGAATCTCTTTCAGAAGCTGCTTTTAAGGATGAGAATGGTCATGTTTCTGGATTCATTACTCCTCCTTTGAGCCCTGCCGAGTTTTTAAAGTATCGGAGAAAAAAATTAACCTAAAGCCAATGATGGTAATACCTTCTACACTCATAGAGGAGGCTATCTCATATAGAGGTAGAGTGAGGGACGCAACTTACCCAAGAAAAACAAGCCGAAGAAGACTCATCTGAGAAACCTTTTGGAAGTGAACTCTTGAAGTTGGAGGATGACACTAGCATTATTGTTTAGTTTGGGTTTGATGAGCTTACAAAAGATATAAAACTGCAACAATGATATTGTAAAGCCTAAGAAACATTGTTTACAGGTGCAAAAAGAACTAAACAGAATTGAAGGTAATTTAGTGAAAGGATTGCTTTGGAAAGCATAATGCTCAATCAAACACAATTCAGGACTCTTTGTACTTCTGATCATCGAACACGATTTGACATTCCTCAGAGCATTTGCGGAATGACATTATTCTTGTGCAAACTGCAGGCTCAGGAACTGCACCAATGGTAAGTTTCGTCAATGATTTTGCATTCTGCAGGATATGCTCAATCAGCTTGAAATCATCTTCTACATTAATAAAATATTTCATATCTATCTCCTTCAGATTCTCAATCAAGACACTTGGGAATATAGCTCCGAGGGGAGACTCAATTTCTTCCTCATCTTCTTCATCGGTCCAAATGACCTGGCCATTCAAAGAAAGATTTAGCTGCTAAGGGGTTAATGTGATGAAAATTTAAGGATAGATTGCATTGATAACTTACATTATCGAAAACAAGAACTTCAAGATTTGGGGTTTTTTCGAGTACTAATGGCAATGCTTCGAAAGCATGAATGTCGTAAGTTTGATGCCGCTTCAGCTCCAGACGTATTAAATTCTTGAAAGTTGGCAACAAATGTGAAGAACCATGTAAAGCCTTCACGCCAAAAGAGAAAAACTAATTGTCTCATGCACTGCATACTTTGAAGTTTAAAGGACTGACTTCGGTTATAAAATTCAAAGTGTAGTGTATCAAAAAATTTAGAAAGTGTACCTCTAGAATATCAACTGTCACACATATCGACTGCACATTTTTTACCTGATGAAAAAACTTGATTACATCCTCAGCACTCGGTATTCTATAACTTTCAAGCGTTATTTCGATTGCAATAAGACTATTCAGGTTCCCAACAAAGTTCAATCTATGCAGAGGTCCATAGATGTGTAAACATTTGATATTTGGTGCATTTATAATCACTTTCCAAATGCCATCAAGTCTACAATCCAGGCTTTCAAGACAATCTGATGCAACTATGAAATTTGCGTTATTACCATCTTCAAAGGTTTCAAATATCAATCTCTTCATATGAGGACACGAAAAATCAACAACATCAACTTTCTTTTCTCCGCCAATATCAACATGATTACTAGGACGTACAAGAATGAGTAGCTCTTCAAGCAGAGGACAACCTTTAATAAGCCTCTGAATAGAACATCCATCCATTAGATGCCAAACGTTCAAATGCAGCACCTTCAGATTAGGTAAACAAACTGCCTTGGGGAGCCCCAAATTCGTCCGAAATCCCCAGCTTAGTTTTAGAATGACTAAGGTTTGGCATGATAAAATTTCAGGAGGATAGTCGAATTTACAACCGCCGTTCTTTTGGGATAGCTGAATGTCGAATTCTTGAATTTGACACAAAAGTGCACCAGATATGAATGATTTTAGTGTCACATCCAACCTTTTGCTATAAGGCCCCCAAAGGAACAACTTAAATTTTCGAACTGAAATCCCCTTTCGAAGTAAAATCATTCTGCTGCATAAGTTGATGAAACCAAACAAAAGCTGATGATCAAAGGGATTGTGGTGAGTGTAACTTAAATCGATATCTGGGACGAAAGCGAAAAGACACTTCCATCTGGTGGACAAAATGGAAGTGGCAGCAGAGTCTTTTGTTGGAAGAAATGACAAGATGTGGCAAAGTAGAGAATCCGGAAGCTCACTGATCCTATCAACTTCATGAACATCAGTTTTAACTATGGTTTTCACCACCTTTATCATAGCCTGATCCATCTCTGGGGCTATTGTTTCACCAATTGCCAAACATGAGATGATGAACAGAGTTTGGTATGGAAGCTACTGAACCGAAGCTCTGGCTTACTTCTAGAAAACCTTTTTGCAAAACAAAAACATGACACCAAACTGAATTTCATGTACTATTAGTTTTACTCTTGCTGAGGTTGTCATTGATTTTGATAATCTGCCGGCCATTTAATATTGACCATTGTTTGTGTCAGAAAAAGAAGAACATTTACATTTTGATGTCTTGCTTCTGAAGCCAAAGTCGCATAAATATTTAATATGTCCTTATCAAGAGAAACGAAATCTTCATTGATTACTAAGAAAGAGATAATAACGCCTCAAATTAAACCATGTCTTTTTACCCGGGGTTAGCACCAGGAGCTCCCTACATCCTTAATCAACAAGCCATAGACCAAATCAGATACAGTAGAGAAGCACTATTGGTGCTTCATGTTTTATTGCTCCGTTCGTCCCATTTTAATAGTGCATCCAATAAAAGCATAAACACCACAAACTTTGCTCTTCAAAAAGTTTAAAACAAGCAAAACCCAACATGTCACTAGATTCTAGAGAATCAAAGTCCGACCAACCTTTTTGGGATTATTCAAGTGTCTTGTACTTTTTCTCCTGAGATTTCTATGAAAACCTGGAAGTACTTGTTTCTTGGTGTTTGCTTCAGCTTCTTGGAGTAGTTGAATATCAAATTCTTGAATTTGACACAAAAGGGCAGCAGATATAAATGATTTTAGTGTCATACCAAACCTTTTGCTATAAACTCCCCAAAGGAACAACTTAAATTTTCGAACTGAAATTCCCTTTCGAAGTAAAATGATTCTGCTGCATAAGTTGATGAAATCAAGAAAAAGCTGATGATCAAAGGGATTATTGTGATTGTACCGCAGGTCAATATCTGGGACGAAAGCGAATAAGTATGTCCACCTGATTGAGAAAATGGAAGTGGCAACGGAGTCTTTGGTTGGAAGAAATGACAAGATGTGACAGAGTAGAGAATCCGGAAGTTCACTGATCCGATCAACTTCATGAACATCAGCCTCAACTGTGGTTTTCACCACCTTCATCTTTTCTTGATCCATCTCTTTTAATAAGCCTCAACTGTAGTTTTCACCACCTTCATCAGCCTCAACTTAACCAATTGCTAAACATGATATGATGAACATATGGAAACTATTGAACCTAAGCTCTGACTTACATCTAGACAACCTTTTCGCAAAACAAAAACATGACACCAAACTGAATTTCATGTACTCTTAGTTTTACTGTTGCGGAGATTGTTATGTGATTTTAATAATCTGCCGGCCATTTGATGTAAAAAACTTTGATTGGCCATTGTTTGGGTCAGAAAAAGAAGAACACTTACATTTTGATGTGTTGCTTCTGAAGCCAAAGTCGCATAAATATTTAAATATGTCCTTATCAAAAGAAAAGAAACCAAATCTTCATTGATTACTCAGAAAGAGATAATGACGCCTCAAACTATAACATGTCTTTATACCTGGGGTTAGCACCAAGAGCTCCCTACATCCTTAATCAAGAAGACAAAGCCATAGACCAAATCAAATACAGTAGAGAAGAACTATTGGTGCTTAATGTTTTATTGCTCCGTTCGTCCCATTTTAATAGTGCATCCAATAAAAGCATAAACACCAAAAAACTTTGCTCTTCAAAAAGTTTAAAACAAGCAAAACCCAACATGTCACTTGATTCTAGGGAATCAAACTCCAACCATCCTTTTTGGGATCATTCAAGTGTTTGTACTTTTTCTCCTGAGAGTTCTATGAAAAGCTGGAAGTACTTGTTTCTTGGTGTTTGCTTCCGCTTCTTTCCTAGCACGGTATTTCTTGTCAATGCAGAAATTCATTTTAAAATTTCACTCAAAATAGAATTGATCATCACTTGTACGGCTAGCAACTCCGGCTCATTCACCAATCAACTTGCAACAGAGTCAAGATTCTGTTTCGAAAGCTGCTTGTACTTGTTCTGTTTCTGGATTAATGAGTCCTGTTTTTTATTACAGTTTGTCATTTCTCTTATTTCCTCAAGGCCTTGCCATGAATCTTCATCTTTTGAATAACGAATCAGAAAAAACATTCTATATGGTGACATATTCGTAAAATGATCTGTTCAACCTTTTTATGGAAGTGTCAAAGTGAAATAGAGATATTCGTAAAATGATCTGCTCAACCATTTAAATGTTATGATTGTCATGTATGGATTTTTATTTTTACTACAATTTGTACAAAACACGAAAATACAAACTGGACAATCATTTTGGGATGGAGAGTATTGAGTAAGAGATGTTGGATAATATTAGCATTATTTTATGATTTTTGTTTGATGAGCTTCCGAAAGAGAGTTGGGTGGGCAAAATAGTAATGTGAAGTCTCAACTCTCAGAACATGTTTGCGCACTTGGGTTTAAAACGTTCTCAAGCAGAAGTAAACAGAATTGAAGGGGATTCACTTGAAAGGGTACATAGCTTGGGAAAGTATCATATGTAAGGTACAAGATTTTAATGCGTACATACATTTGACAATACCATTTTGCACCTATTGTACTTCTGATTATCATACAGAATTTCACGTTCTTCAGAGCATCTCCGGAATGACAATATTCTTGTGCGAGCTGAAGGCCCCAGAACATCACAAATGGCAAGTTTCCTTAACGATTTGGCATTCAGAAGGAGAATCTCAATCAGCTTGAAACCATCTTCTTCACCCATAAAACATTTGAAATCGACCTCCTTCAGATTCTCAATCAAGACACTGGGGAACATAACTTTAAGAGAATCAAATTCTTCGTCATCAGCTTCAGGGATCCAATGGAGCTGGCCATTGTTTTTGTTTAAAAAAATGAAGTGATTAAAGCTGCTAATGAATAAATGAAATGAAAATTTAACCATAGATTGCATTACGGACTTAAATTATCAAAAACAAGCAATCAAGATTTGGGGCGTTTTCGAGTAAAATTGGTAATATACTTCGACAGCAGGAATGTTGCTAACATGATACCACTTGAGCTCCAGACATTTTAAATTCTTGAAAGTTGGCAACAAATGTGAAGAACCCTTTAAAACCTTCAAGCAAAACAACAGAAAGGAAATGTGAAATGCCCTGCCAACATTGAAGTTCGAAGCAGTTATTTTGGGAAATCAATGTATAGAGTGTATTAAAAATTTTACAAAGTATACCTCTAGAATATTCACTGAGACACAAATACACTGCACATTCTGTAAATGATGAAGAAACTTGACTACATCCTCAGCTCTTGGTGCTATAAAACTAAATCTCATTTCAATTGCAACAAGACTGTTCAGGTTCCCGACGACGTTCAATCTAGACAGATGTCCATAGATGTGTAAATATTTGATATTCGGCGCATTTATAATCACGTTCCCGATGCTATCAAGTCGGCAGTACAGGCTTTGAAGACAATCGGATGTCGTTCCAAAAGTGGCTTCATGACCTCCCCAAAACCTTTCAAATACTAATTTCTTCATATGTGGGTTCAAAAAATAAAAAACATCAACCTTCTTTTCCCGATCAATCTCAACACTATTACTAGGACGTACAACTATTTTTAGCTTCTCAAGCAGAGGACAACCTTTGATAAGCCTTCAAATAGAACATCCATCTATGGGATGCCAAACATTCAAATACAACCTCTTAAGATTCCAAACCCCTCAAAATCTTGGACATTAAGTTAACTTGTTTCACAAATTAAATTGGGATTAAAATTCCGCCGAAAGTCAAAGTATGTTTGTTTCGTTGTTTTAATGTGTATTTTTAAATATTTTTTCTATTGAAAATATAAAAATATATACTGAGATGTGACAGTTATTTTTAAAATAATCTGAAAAAACCATCCGAAAAACCAAACAAACAGAGCCCAAGCTTCCAAGCACCGCGGCACCGCCACAGCTGGATTTTCCTTCTTCTCTTTGGTTTCGTCCGTTGCAAGAAGAAATAGCAGCCCAAATAACTCCAAAGGCTTCAGTCCAAAGTTAGAAGGAATGGGCTTCTTTAAATTGTGTCCTTTGTTTATTTTCAGCACTAGCCAACGTTGGTAATGGATTTGGGCTCCAAAAATCTTTTGTCTCCAGAACCAACTCAAGGCCTTCTAACAATTAATCCCAACACAGCCCAGTTTCGGCCAATTCCAAAGAAAAAGGTCAAAACTTGCACTTCAGTCCTCCAAATCTTTAGATCTTCTGATTTCTTCCTCGTAAATTTATCTAATCTTCAATTCCGCTTCTTTGAGTTGCTTTTTGATTCAATTTAGCTCGAAATTTTAACAATTTCTCCATTTAAGTACAACTCCTACAATTAAAGATAAAATCACATAAATAGCACGTTTATACTCAAAATATTAGCAAAATCTCACATAGAGAATATTAAAAATAGGTAAATTAAATACACATCAAATACCCCCAAACTTGAAATATTGCTAGTCCTCAAGCATTCCTAAAAATTAAAACAAAGAAAAACATTGAATTATTTAATTCGGTGGCCTCAGAAATTCAACATCATATTACACAAAAATCTCGACTACCTCTAGTATGTACTATATAACAATATGTAAACCATAATAACTTTTAGCTCCCACGCTTGTGTGTGTGCGGTTCGTTTCTTAGGGACTTCACTTTACATTCAACATAGAAAACATAAGCTCTACTGCAAATATGCCATTCTACTTTAACCACAGACCCACATTTCAAACCATATTTCAATGAATGGACCTCCATACATGTTATGAAGTAGAAGAACTTATCTCACATACAACCTATTCCCCCTCGTACCCATTCTTCGGTCCATGCGAATTTTCTTCAGGGCTCTTTCCCATTCAGGCCTCTACCAAGAGCATTTTTCCACTCCTTTGCATAGTGGCTCAACAACTTAAGGCAGTCTACACATCTATTTTTTCTCAACGGGCCTGAGGACTCTCCACTCATGGTTGCCAATTCTTTACCTCTCAATATGGCTAGCATTAACATTGAATGCGCTTCCTTTTCTCCCTCATTAAATTTAATCTAACCTCAGAAGCATCTGTCAAATTGTTGGACAAGCAAAGTAGAGAAATTCGGTGCAACTTTCGTCCAAGCATTTTCCAGCACCATTTATTCTAGAGTAGCTGCCAAACAAAAACAAAAACAAATCTAAATTCTATCAGATAAATGATTAAGAAAAATCACGAAAATTCAGAAATCAAAGATTTCCAAATAATCAGGAACAAAGAACTTAACCCATTAATGTATTTGCAAAATTAATAAAATAAAAAAATATAAAATAAAGCAAAATAAAACGTTGGGTGCCTCCCAATAAGTGCTGTTTTAAAGTCTTTAGCTAGATTCCATGGTTGATCAATCAGAGTACCCATCCCGATACCATAAGAAACTAAGTTTAACAGTAGTGATGAACCGCTTGTAGTGGTTCTCTTTGCCATGAGAAATATAAACTTGTATTCCAGGACCACCTCTTTCTCAAGTTCAGATCTGTGATCGAGAATCACTAAACGTGGGCATATGGATCGAGAATCCAAATCTGCGAGTGTTATATAGGGAAATTGAACACTGTTAATTCTAAAAAGAGTCACTAAAATATTATTAATCTGAATCCGAACCTGAACTAAACATATGAAATAATCGTATAAACCAATTTGGTTTGTTTGTAACCCAGACCGGTGAACCGATATGTATTAGGTTAGCGGGTATTGAGGACCGGGGGACCGGTTTTTGAAAGTTGGCCGATAAAGCGGCTGTGTAACAGGGAGCTGGAGGTCCGGCTTTGGAAATAGCCGGCAAAGCTGGTTTGAGACGGCTGTGACGGCTGCCGACTTGCAGCAGCGGACGGTGGACCTCCGTAGCGTCGGGCTTGTCGCCGGCACTCAGATCTGAGACATCAGAGTCTCTATATGCATATGTCAAGACAGATGGGGGGTGGCCGGATGCGTTAAGCCTAGACGCGGCAGCTGCTTTTGCAGGAGATCTAGGCGATAGGGAGAGGAGCGTTTTGGCGGTAGTAGCAGAAACAGATCTGAGTAACGACACAGACTGCGGCAGTTAACACTGCCAGGCGGCTAATCCACGGCCAACGATCCCAGGACAGCGCCTGATATGTATCAGCAGGGTTGTTCTTCGATGGTTCGTCTGGAGCTGTTCATCTGGAGCTGGTCACCGGATTTATTAGTGGCCGCTACTTTGGCTTTATTTGAACAAAAGAGAAAAAACATAAAATAAAAAAAAAAATTTAACACCCCCAACTACCGTTAATGGTGGTTGGAGGAAGAGAAAAGTGTTGTTGTGGGGTGGTGGTTTTCTTCGTTATACTACTTGCATTAGGTAAACGAAAATTTAAGTTCCAAGAAAAAAGTTGAGTTCGTAAATTTTTCCAAACTTAACCTCTAGAATCTTTTAAGTTTCAACAATTCTTGTTTTTCCGTTGAATTCGAAAATAAGTCGTCAATCTTTTTGGTTTTTAATCCTCGTTTGCTATTTGATTTTCGCAAGTGACAAGTCTCTTTCAACTATACGTCTACAGAAGCGACTACAAATTACATCATGACCAAAGTGTGGGGCTCCCAAAACAGTTTCCAGGAATTATAGTGCTAATAGTTAAACTCCATGTACGACCCGCCGATGGATACATCAAGTTTGCAGAACTTTAACGATAATTGCTTGACTTTTTTTTAACATAGACATGGCTAGAGGCAATCACACATATTGTAAGGATGGTCAAATAGCTAGTGTGGTATATGAGTCATTTCAACGTTAAAAATCATATATTTGATTTGTATACAAATTAACGGATTAGTAGGAATTAAGAAAATTATATTTTTGATTTGTGAAAAAATTAACGGATTAGTAGAAACTAAGAAAATTATTATGTGAATAAATTAATACATCTCAACGTATAAAATTATTCAATTACCTTCCAAAAAATTATCAAAATGAGGCAAATTCATCTCATTATCTGCAAAACAACTAATAATCTGACATAATAGGTAAAATCTACTACATCTCACATTTGAATTTGATCAACAAAAGAAAAAAAAGAAACGTCTAAGAAAAACAAGTGCAATCAATTTACATTCATACGGCTGCATCCTCATATTATATGATACTCCTTCCATTATAGAAAAATAGTGTAGATTGAGTTTTGAAATTTTTACTTAATTTTGGTGCAACATTCCAAACTCAATATTAATTATTTTACTGGGACAGAAGCACCATAATAGTACTGATTAAACTTCTCGCACAGCATCACAGTTATTATAATAGTTTACATCAAGTGAAATTGCTTTACTTACAACATTTACCGCAAGGCTACGAATCATCGTCTGATATAATTTGGCGCCGCAAAAATAAAAAACCGCCGCTACACACAAAAAAAAAAATGAAAAAAGGAAAAGAAAAAGAAAAATAAAAGCGTTGCCCGTCAAAATCTGTTGCTATATCTTACCAGTCCAGTTTCATTGTAACTTTATATTTCAGAAAAAACAAACTACACATATATACAGGTTTTCCGTTTTTGTGTACTCACTCCATCAAAAAAATATAATAACTCAAATTATAATTAGTAAATTATATTATTTTGAGAAGAACTTACATGCTACTTAACAGATAGACTATTTTTTGGAACAGATGGAATATTGTATACAATCATACAAGGTTTATTTTCTAACTGTACGAGAAAGTTGAAAAGATATAGCGACAATTAGGTTCACTATTGGAAGTGACAATCACTAGAAATTGAGTTAAGTATATTTCTTTGCCACAAGGCAAAGAGGAATTTTCTTATGGATAACTAGCCCTGGCAGTATGCTAGTATCTATGTCCTCTAATTTCATTCCAAAAGGGAGTTCCCAATCGAAAGAATAAAGAAGATTGGCAAGTAAAAACTTCACATTTGACAGCCCCATCAAAATTCCAGGACAGCCTCTTCTTCCTGCTCCAAACGGAAGTAATTCAAAATCATTTCCTTTAATGTCGATGCTACTATTCAAAAATCTCTCAGGAACAAAATCATCAGGATTTTGCCAACTTTCCGGATCTCTAGAAATAGCCCATGCATTGATGAAAATCATAGTTCCTGCTCTAATGTCATATCCTTCCATAGTGCAATCTCCTGTACTTTCTCTTGGTAGAAGAATCGGTACCGGAGGATATAATCTCAAAGTTTCTTTGATTACTGCATCCAAATAAACAAGTTTTTGAAGTACATCTTCGTCCCCAATTGCTTTATTCTCTCCAAATGCATCTCTAACTTCAGCTTGCACTCTCTTCAAAGCTGAGGGGGTTTGCATTAATTTGGTCATGCCCCATATGACTACGGCCGCACTTGTGTCTGTGGCAGCTACAAATATATTCTATGAAATATGTAAAAAATATGTCAATTTCTTACATGAGGTGCTGGTTTTCTTTTAATTTTTTTAATAGTATTTCGCCTATTTAAAGTATATCATACAAGATGAAAACCTATGCTTCTTCTAATTAACAAATAATTACAGAAAATGTAGTCAATTAATTATACAATTTACTACGGCATGTTTTAATTTGTTTGTTGCACCCAAAAAAATAATAGGACTAACTAAAGAAAATGAACAAAAAGTATAATGACGTGGATTGTGTTATTTTAAGACAGAAGCAATAAAAGAGTAAACAAGCCAATAGTAAACTACTGTGAAATTTTGGACTTTGATGATTACTTCTGATTGATCTAGGAAAAAAAAAAGTGAATGATTAGTCTTTCTTATACATTTAAATTTATGTATTATCTATGGCGTCAGTTGACCGCAAGCTGCCAAAAGGTCACTAACTAAGCTATGGAAAAGGTTGACCATATCAATTAATGAACAACTAATCCCGTAAGCTCCCCACAACCCACTAAATGCAAAGTCACTAGGATGGAGAAAAAATGTCACCGAATTACTTCAACTCCTAGTTCAAGATAAATAATGCACTTTGTTGTATTATTTCAGTTGAGCATATATGTTTTTTTTCCCCCCGAGACAGCAGGAGTATAAGCACACTTTTGTTATGGGAGTATCTTAAATGATATTGGACAAAAACCCACTCACTGCATCTTAAAAAAATAATCAAGTTTCTAAAATGTTTTCTCGTAATAAAAATGTGTACAATATTTAACAATCGCCGCCATTGTTGAGTAACATATGTACTAAGATATGCAATCCTTAAATAAAAGTCAAACATCAAAACGTCTATGACGAAAACAGACATGAAAGTTTAAGCAAACATTTCGTTAAAATAAAAGCAAACTAACCATGAGAACGGCCTTGATGTGATCCCAAGTGAGCTGGAAAGAAGAAGATTGTTCTTCCTTAATCTGAATCAACAGATCAATAATGTCATCCTTCATAGATTCCGGCCTATTTGGATTCAAGTGTTCATCAATAAGTTCTTGGTAGAACGAATCCATGTCTTGAAAACAACTATCAAGCCGAGCTAATGCCCCCGAAACCTTATCAATCCAACCTAATGAAGGAAAATAATCGGAGGCATAAAACGCTGTGCCTCTAGCGTGGGATTCACGTATCATCTCATTAAATCTTTCTCTCCGGGGATCTTCTTTCGCGTACTTCTTCCCAAAAGCGATTCGACATATTAAAGTGCTCGTTTTGTTCGTCACGAGTGAACTGAGGTCAATAACTTTCTCACTAGAGGAGGATGAAGAAGAAGAAGAAGAAGAAGAAGAAGAAGAAGAAGAAGAAGAAGAAGAAGAAGAAGAAGAAAGATGGGAAATCTCGTTTATCAAGAGGGAAACTTCATCTTCAAGAATCGGGCGAAATGATTTCACCCTTTTCGCCGTGAAGAGATGAACAAAGGTGATTTTTTTCATCTCCCTCCAATGATTGCTGTAGGAAGCGAAAACAATATCTGAACCATTGTAAGATAATTTCCGGTCGGCGACACGGTTCGGCCGGCCGGCAAATGTAAGGTCGTGGGTTTTTAGGGCTTCCCTAGCTAACTTTGCAGAAGATATTACAACCAATGGAACCGATCCAAGATTCAATGAGAAGATTGGACCGTATTTGTTGGCAAGATTTCTTAGGTACTCATGAGGCTTTTCACTTTCAAATTGATGCAAGTTTCCGATTAAAGGTAAACCCTGAGGGCCAGGTGGACGATGAGTCTTCTTCTTGGCCTTTTGAGTTTTTTGAAGATGAAAAAGAAACACAAAAGGAACGAGGAATAACGAGAGAAGAAGCCATGGTGCCATTTCCTTTGGAATCAACTTGCTATATCCTCCTCAGACACTGAAATGAAATTAATGAAATCGCCAATATGATATATACCGTGTAATACGTTATACACTCACGCTAATCTGAAATTGACTTGTCGAGTACTTTTTCAATGGATGCGATCTTACAATACCGTATCAACTAGTTATTCACTTTATATTAATCCGAAATCTTTATTAAAGTGACTAGAAGTATATCACTACTGCTTAGCTCAATAAAATTTATTCAATTTGTTTTTCCAAATAACAGCTCTTGGTTAAAACGAGAGTGATATTTTCGCAAGATTAAGGACCAAATCAATCTAGAACACTAATTATTTCAGAAATGTTTCAAACGGTAAACTCTATAACTATATTGAGGTTAGTGGTTAGGATTGATCTGAGTTTAATTCCCACAAATAAATTTGTAAAGAGAAATTTCACTCATATTTTAGTGGGTCCACCCAAATGGATTTTTTTCACATCTGACTATATGGTACTTGACAATTGAGAAACGTTATGAACCCGTCACTCAGAGTCTCCAACCATTTATTAACGGCATTTTATTTTATTTTTGAATCATTTTAATCCCCATTTTGTCTAGTTCCTTATTATAATTATCGTTTTCAGTCTTGTTATTTGTTCTACTATACGTTATAAATTCAGTAACTAGCTCTTGATCTAAAAAAAAAAAAAAAAAAAGAAACAAAAGAAATTGAATAGTCATATTTAATTTACTCTATGAACTTCTAAATCATTTTTGAGTTACATAGATTTAATACGAATTACAAATGCACGCATGTCAAATTACAAAGTCTGCAGCCACACATAAAAACCAAAAAATAACAAAATAACTTTAAATCAAAACAGCGCCAAAATATCATAATCGCGGAGAGGATACAAGTTACAATTTTCTCTTACCTTTTTTTTTTTTTCACAAATCTGTTCGGTTTTTTTTTTAAAATTTTTTTTTTGGGGTAAATATCAGTTATGATGAATGTTGTACTACCTCAAAGCCGTTGTTGCAATTGTTATCTTCTTGAAACATGATTCTAATTCGAAACATCGAAAATGTTTGTTGTTTTTTTTTCTATTATTCATAAGATGTCTAGTATTGACCATTATGGTAAGAAGGCTTTTTTTTAAGAAGTGAGGATTAGTCAGAAGTACTATTAGAGAAAGGGCATAAGCGCGGATGTGGCCTCCAAAATATGAATAGTATAGTGCATTGTCATTAGTTAGGATCTTAGTTCCCTTGCATAAATTAGTCAATTTACATATACTATTAATAATGTTAAGCTTGTGGTTTAATAATATGCTTTAGGTCTGGAAGTTGGTATTCCGAAGTTTTATGTAATCACTACTAATTAGTTTGTGAGTGTCCCTCAAGAAATAATACATGTAGGGTGCATTTAAAATGAAATAATTTCAAAATAAAAGAATACTACAATGTTCGAATACGCACAATTAATTTTTTGGGTCTTATTCTTTTCGAAAATGAAGTAAACCATACTATGTCGAACCAGAATGTTATATGTTATTATACAATTCTAAAGACTAGCTACTAATTTCCGTTGGTTTTGGCAGATCCATTTCCGACTAGTCCACGAGAAACCTTCGTAATAATCAAACTGCAAGCCAACTGTAACGTTGTACTAGTTAATAATAGAAATGCACATACATATAGTCTCGCTATTTTTCTGCCAGCTAATTAAGAAATAAAAAGTACAGTTCTATAAATTTTTTTTTGGTTTGGCTGAGGACAGATATATAGCTAGGCGTTACATGCATGGAGGACCGTTTTACATACACTGTTGTTAAAATTATTCTAAATGAAAATATGAAAATGAGAGTCGAGTGATCATCTAATTTTTTCATTATGCAACTAGAATTTTTCGAGCTCTTACACAAAAAAAAATAAAAATAATAATAATAATTATAATGTAATGCAAGAGAAATGTATATAAGGTATTTGGGAAAATAGATTTACAGCCCTTTCTTCAAATACCATAGCAGAGAACAAGAGAGATGTTGGTTTCAACTTTCAAACGTGTGATATCGCTTGTAGTTTTAAAATGCTAATTGGAGACCTTCGATCTATATATAATCTTGCTCCACACCCGTTAAAACACTGTATAGGTTTCTTCTCATAAATTCTTTTCACGATTTTGGATATAGCTAGATAGCAAGATACTGAAATTTTCAAGGTTCTGCTCCAAATCCTTACCTTGGGCTACTAGGGTATCCCGTTCTATCTTGGTCAAAAACTCGTCAGGTATGATAATGCTTTGACCCGGCAAAACATCTGATTGTTCGAGTAAATGACGTCACACCATGAAAAAGTAACAAAAATGTCATAAATTTTTGTCATCCATGTATAAATATTTCCATGTCTTGTCCACAGTCTCATTATGTACCATATCAAATATCAAGAAAAACAGTAATTATTTCATAAAAAAATTTGATATTAGAAACAAAGGTTTTAAATTTTTGTGAATGAAACGAAGGTTATAAATGAAAAAGGTTTAAATTTGATAGTGAAAAATTTGGAAAAGCATGTAATGCACCAGCTTCCTCATATATAAACGAGCAAACATGAATTCAGAATTCCTAAAAGTGACACAGGGTGCTAAATTGTCTTTCTTTCTTTGTTTTTTTTTTTTTCTTAAAAAGTGGCACAAGGTAGCAAATGGAGTTTAACAAGTCATGCCAAAAAAAAATAAAATTAAATAGACTAATTCGGGATATTAAAACTCTAATTTTAATTGGAAAAAGTAAACAAAAAAATCATTTAATTATTTTTGTTCATTTCACTGGTCAAATGGGAGTGAAAAATCTAATAGAAGAATCAAATTCATTTTTCAGAAAGCTTTTTAATTAGTAATTAACTATCCTATTGTAAAAAAAAGTAAACCGAGCTCATTTTCTACTTCACAGTTTTACTCCTTCCTCCCTAGATCTTGCGTTTCAATCGATCCCCCCAAACTTCTTCTCCGATCAAAGCTGTCCATCTTGCTTCTCCTAGACGAGCTTCCGATCGATTTCAAGCTCTTTGCTCTCCGATTACGGTTTGGTGATTCCGGTGAATTTCAGATCGAAGCAATCATTCATCAAGCCGCTTTGTTAAATCAGAAGTCAGAAAACCTAATTTTGTCTTCGCCTTGTCTCCGGTAACTTCTAAATTCTCAAAATTTTGATGTAATTTGATCTGTTTGTTCATTAATCTGTACATGCATATTGTAATTTAGTTGTTTCATCTTATGATTATGTTCGCTGATATTTTTAAGCTGAGTTCTATTTCGTGAAAGAATATTTTTCGTGTGTTATTACGTGTGTACAACAGCATATATATAGTACAATATTACAATAACTCTAGCCGTGACTATCGGAAACCCTAATTAGGGTTTTCGTATTTATATATTCTATCATCCCTCCGCAATCGGAGCAGGAGAGGAAATCATGCACAGATTGGTTCTAAACGAATAAAATTTATCCTTAGGCAAGGATTTGGTGAATACATCTGCTAGTTGAGACTGGGTGGAGATATGAAGAACTTGAAGAAGACCAGCAACGACACGTTCACGAACAAAATGAATGTCTAGACCAATATGTTTGGTTCGAGCATGATTAACAGGATTGACGGCTAGGTATGTAGCAGAGACATTGTCACACAAGATCACTGGGCGCTGAGCAAGCTTGATATGAAGTTCTGACAGAAGATTCTCTAACCAAACCGTTTCAGCAAAGAAGCAACAGTCGCGATATTCAGACTCAGCAGAAGATCTGGAAACTGTAGATTGTTTCTTGGAGGACCAGGAAATGAGAGAGGAGCCTAAGAAGACACAAAAACAGTGGTAGAATGGCGAGTAGTGGGACACCCGGCCCAATAAGCATCAGAATAAGTAACCAGGCGATCAAGAGGACCAGCACAGAGATAAATGCCATAATGAAGTGTGCCTTTGATATATCGTAGAATACGCTTGACAGCTTGAAAATGCTGTTCCCGGGGATCATGCATATGCTGACAGACAAGGTTGACCACATACTGAAGGTCCGGTCTGGTGAAGGTAAGATACTGTAAACCACCCACCAAGCTCCGATAGAGAGTTGGATTGTGAAAAGGCGGAGACTCATCAACAGAAAACTGAAAAGCGGGAGCAAGAGGAGTTGCAACAGGATTGGCATCAGTGAGATGACCACGAGCCAACAATTCCTCAGCATACTTACTTTGGTGTAAAAACCAACCACCAGGCTGAGAAAATAGCTGATTGGACCAAGATTAGTCATGGCAAAAGCACCCTTCAGCGACTAAATAATAGTAGTGAGCAGACGATTAGTAGATGCTGTCAAGAGAATGTCATCAACATAAAGTAACAAAACCGCCATGTCTGATCCAGTAGAATACACAAACATAGAAGAGTCTGAGCGAATGCCTTTAAAACCCTGAGAAAATAGAAAAACAGTGAATCTGTGAAACCAAGCTCGGGGAGCCTATTTTAAGCCATAAAGAGCTTTGTTCAATCGACAGACATAGTGAGGATGATCTGGATGAACAAAACCAGTAGGCTGTTTCATGTAGACAATTTCATTGAGATGACCATGCAAAAATACATTTTTAACATCCAACTGATGGACGGGCCATTTCCGAGAAGCAATAATGCTTAATACAGTCCGAATTGTCACTGGTTTAACCACCAGACTAAACGTTTGATCATAATCAATACCAGGCTTTTGATTGTAACCTTGAGCGACCAAACGTGCTTTACATCGACCAAGTGAACCATCAGATTTGAGCTTAACTCGAAAAATCCATTTTGAGCCAATAATGTTAGAAGAAATAGGAGGAGGGACCAAATCCCATGTATGGTTAGTGAGGAGAGCATTATATTCATCACTCATAGCAGCTCGCCATTCAGGGTATTTATTGGCTTCAGTGAAAGATGTTGGTTCATGGGGAAGTGAAGATGTTGTAGTAGTAGTAAGAGAGGGGATCTGTTTAGCTTTACGGGTGCCATCCCGAGTGCGGGTGACCATATGATGAGTGGGAGGGTTTGAAGAAGGAGGACCCGAATGAGTTGACAAGGAAGCAGAAGGTGTAGGGTCTGAATGTACAGAAGGAACAGGTAACACTTTTGTTGAGGAGGTGAAGGTATCACGGAAGTGGGAATGGACCGTGAATGAGAAACGAAGGATGTTTAAAACGGGAGTTGGGAGTAGAGAGTGGTGAAACCGAAGATAGTTGAGGAAATGGGAAAGAGGTTTCATCAAAAACAACATGACGGAAGTGTAAATTTTCTTGGAAGCAGGATCAAAACAACGGTAACCTTTATAAGACTCATGATAACCGAGGAAGATACATGGAGTGGACCGAGGTTGGAGCTT